TTCCATTTTGCGTCGCCGAGCTCCTCGCGCAGGAAATCGGCGGCGTAGGGGTCCAGCTCAGATGACTTGGTTAGTTTCTGGCCTGGTAGCTCTTTGCGCTGCCAAAGACGGGCTTGTCAGTGCACAGTCCCGAAGATGGTGTAGCGCCCTACATCTGCTTTGCCAGAGGGCCCGAGGTGTAGTGGCGCGCCGAGCGGGGGAGGGGGGCTCGCCTGGAATGGGGCAAGAGGAGAAACGGGCTGGGAGCGCGCGTACAGAGGGGGCTCAGGCGATATGGTGTGAGGCTCTGGAGGAGTACCGGACTCGAGGCGCAGATACGAATGGTCGTGCACGATGGGGCGGGGAGAACTTGCGGTGGATGGCGCGTGATACGTGTTTACGTCGCTCTGTGGCCAAATGCTGAGCAGGTGGAGCAGCAGTCGACTCGGAGAGTACTCACCCAATCGTGAACGGGGGCAAATCCGAATTCGCTGTTTTGGTTTGCGAGCGAGGGCGAGGGCTGGGAGGGATAAAAGTGTGAATAGTGCTGCAGATAGGGCGGGAAGGGCACTGTGTTAGGGAGGACTGAAGCGTCGGATTGCGCCAAGTGACGCACGGCCACATCTGCGGCAAAGGATGGGGGAAAGGACTGGAGATAGGCATGGCGGGGGTCGTGTGTGCCCTCGAAGGATGTGCCCAGGGCAGACATGCCGATGCGGGGGACGCTGGCGGGCACGACGGAGGGCTGCTTGAGCACGACGGTGAGCACGACGCGAGAGGGGCGTCTGTGCCGCGAGGAGAGGGTCGCGGGTCGCGCCCCGCCATCATCCTGCGCCCACAAGGACACGTGACCCGCCAGCCCTAACCCCGCGGCTCGGCGATGTGCTCGCTGCCATCGACGACGCCATACACAGCCAGCTGGTGACGACCATCACATCGCCACCCCTCCGCTGTCCTCCTCACCCTCCTTTGTCCATTCCCCCGCATCTGGCACCCGATTGCTGCACACCGCACGCCGCAATGAGCTCTGCAGCCGGCCAGCCTATTCCGGAGTCTCCCCGGGACGAATACGGGTTCGTCGCATCAAGCACCTTGCAGCGCTGCTCACTCTGATGCCACGCGTCTGCCACGTTCGATCCCATTGCAGCGAACGACCCGTGTCCGTGCACGATGCAGAGCTGCGTTCTGCGGCGCAAGAGCTCGAGCGGCCGCCTTCTGTACTCCTCGAGCTGGAAATCCCGCCCTCTGAGCTCGACCTCACGCTGACCTTTGAGTCCATCCTCGCGGAAACCTCGAGCTCTGACGAACCCGAGTAAGTCGTCGTGGCTCTGCATGGCGGGTCTTCCGTCTCCGGGCGGAGCGCTCGTCGCGCATCTCGACGTGGAACTCGGGCTGCATGCTGACCTTGCCGCGCAGAGCCAAGGCGGTGCACAAACGCGCCAGCAACGTGATGAAGCTGTCGGAGGAGAACGAGAAGCTCAAGGAGGAGCTGCGGATGCTGACGGAGAGGCTGGAGGCGGCGGAGCGGAAGCAGCAGGAGCTGAGGCAGAAGGCCGCCCGCTCCGAGGACGAGAGCGACAGCAAAAGTGTATCTTAGCATTGTGCCCGCGTGCGGCTGTGTATACCCATCTAGGCTGGAGGACGCTGTTCTGCATCTATACCGTAGACTCGCACTGTGCGCGGGACCGTGGGCGACGATGTGCACGTCGGGCCGCTCGTCGCGGGCGCTGGGCTGGCCAGGCCCGATAATGTACCTGGGAAGCAGCGTGCAGCGAGCTCGACTCCACCCGCCACGTAAAGACGCTACCCTCGATCCCAATCACCCCCAATCTTATCGTCATCACCGGCGCCGGTATATAGCCCCCCGCCCCCGCCCCCATCCTCGTCCCACACACCATGTCCCGCCGCACCTCCGACATGGGCAGCCGCAGGCCCTCTGTCCTCGACTCCCCCGCCGCCCGCCGCCAGTCGGGGCTCTCCTCCCGCCGCCCGTCCATCGACCCCTCCAGGCTCATCCCCATTGACAAGTCAGTCCCGCTCCGTTCTGCGTTTGAGAATGCTGGCCTCTTGGCCCAGGCACTCTCCGTGCTTGCTGAAATGGATCGAGCTGGGCCGTGCAATGCTGACCCCGGCGTACCAGAGCGACTGCCACGACCGGCGACGACTTCAATGTGGTGTTCATCGGCGCAGGAAACATCATGTTCGGTGCGTCGGCACACGCTCCATTTAGCCTCCATGCGCGACTCACGGCCCTGCAGGGTCCGACGAGGGTCCCTGGAACCACTCCTTCCGTCTCGAGCAGTACGTTCTTCTCGTGGCCCTCCCATGACGATAGCCCCGCTCACCACCCCCCAGCAAGCTCGGCCCGCGCCTCAAGGTCGTCGCGCTCATCGACCCCGCCATCGAGCGCGCGACGGCGGTGCTGCAGAAGAAGTGCGACACGTTCGTGCGCTCCGCGTACGAGAACACGCGCGTGTTCCGCACGCTCGAGGACTTTGTCAAGAACATGTCGCGCAAGGACATGCCGCGCGCGGTCATCGTCGGCTCGCCGCCCATGTTCCGCGGCACCACCCAGCCCGGCCGCGACATCGAGCTCCAGATCATGAAGTATTTCCCCGGCGTCGCGATGTTCATCGAGAAGCCCGCCGCGACGGGCCCCGTCCACGAGATCGAGGAGGCGTTCGCGGTCGCGAAGCGCATCAAGGAGACCGGCACGATCTGCTCCGTCGGGTGCGTCCCCCCAGCCTCTGCGACTCACGCGAGAAGCTCATCTGGCTGACTGCTTGCCCAGGTACATGTTGCGATACCTGAGGGCCGTCCAGATGATGAAGCAGATCATTGACGAGAACAACCTCACGGTGATGGCCACCATCGCACGCTATGCATGCGCGTATGAGGCGATCGCGAAGCCAGACTGGTGGGACAAGTCGAAGAGGTAGGCCGTGCGCAACCCTCAGAGTCCGGCAGAGCTAACAAGCATGCGGCGGAACAGCGCTGGTCCCATCATCGAGCAGGGTACGCACTTCTGCGACCTGTCGCGGTACTTTGGTGGCGATGTAGACACGAGCACCGTCCAGGCGCACTCGCTCGAGTGGAACGAGAACGCGGGCCACCTGTCCAAGATCAGGATTGATGAGACGGCCATCCCTCCGGAGAACAGGATCCCGCGTATCACCGCTGCTACATGGTGCGTGCTACGGAAGTGGGGCGCAGGCATATGTACTGACCATGCAATGGACGCAGGAAATACGAGAGCGGTGCTGTCGGCAGCTTCACTCATCTTGTGGCCCTGCAAGGCCATGACTACAGCTGTGAGCTGGAAGTCTACGCAGATGGATACCAACTGAAGTGAGTCGTGCTGAGATGACGACAAACGTACAAAACCCATTAATCGTCGTGCCCAGGCTCGTAAACCCCTACGTGCAGCCGGTCCTGTACGTGCGCCACCCTGGCAGCGATCACGAGGAGACGTACAGATTCAACGATGACGACCCGTTCTTCTCGGAGGTGCGTTGACCACGCCTGTGGAGTCCAGCAGATCTTGATCGAGGACGCCCTTTACAGATCTCGGTCCTCATTGACAACATTGAGGATATCGAGGAGGACCCGGAAACCGCGCAGATCCTGTGCGACTTCGAAGGTGCGCACATGCGTGGTCGACGTCTGCACGTAGTTATTGACCCTCGGCGTAACCTGCAGATGGCTGCAAGTCGTATCAGCTCACATGGGCCATCCGGGAGGCCAGCGAGCGCAACAGGAAAGAGGAGGAGGCGCGCGCTGAGGCTGAGGCCGCGGCCGCGACTTCTGCATAGGTTGGATGTTTCGGGCACATTCACAAGGACAGGCTAACGTTCGAGGAAGCTATATCGGTTTGCCAGCTGTTGTTCCTGTGTTCCCTCTGTATCACCTAGTCAAGCAACTGTGCTGCCTAGGATATCCACATTGTCTCAGATACGATGTCTACGTGGAATAAAAGTGGTATCTGGTTGTCAGTCTATTTCCTCAGAGTCAGCTGGCGCCGGTCGTCCAGTTTGCAAGCGCTTCGGAGCATGTTCGTCTCTCTCCGAGTTGGAGTCTGCAGAATTTTCGCTCCCATGTTTTCGTTTCTTGTTCGCAGCCTTCGTCTTCTCACGTTCAGCCTCTTTGTCCCATTCCTCCTGCAGATGCGCCTTGAGGGTTGGCATATTCTTGAAGTCCCTGCCGCACCGCCAGCAGGAAAGCGTCTCTTTGAGCAGTGGCTCATACTGCGTGGGCTTCAACACAGACATCTGGGAAAGCGTCAGAAGCCAGCCATGCAATGAGATCCGGCCCTCTTCCGCTTGACGTGCGCGACGGCAATAGCCCTGCAAACTGCATGCATACGCACCGTGGAGTAGAACGTGGGGTCAGCATCAAACCATGAGAGGACGTCATCGAGGGACAGAAAGAACCCGAGCTTCGGGTGGAACGAGTTGTAATGCTTCTTGGTCTTGAGACTCGGCGAGCACAGATCGGACGAGATGACATGGAGGTGCAGGTGTCTGAGTATTCATTCACTGTGAGACACGTGTGGCCAGAGGGACATGCGGTACATACTCCATGGACGGTACGGCGTGGAAGCCCATCCACACTTCCCACTTGAATCCGTACCGGCTGACCATCTCCTCTTCGATCATGGCGCGCACTTGCTTAGCATCTTCCGCCAGTGCCTGTATAGTCTGTCTCGCGCGCTGCTTGTCGCCCTTCAGCAGAGTCCGCAGACTGGCGAGCTCGAACACTGTCAGAGGCGGGCGCGCACGGGGCAGGACCAGGAAGTGGAAAGTGGCCTTCGGGAACGCATCGAAGATCGTCAAAGAATTAGCTGTGTGCGTGAATAGCACTGAGGTCGGAAGGCTGGACGGATCCGCCTTTGACGCATACTGGCGTAAAGCAGTAAGGAATGACATGTCTTCGAGCGGGAACTAGCAGAGTACATCTAGCTGGTCAGTTGCAATCAAAGTCGCTCATCTGACGTTCGAGTCCGCAGGGCAAGGGCAAAAAGATGGTTCAGTCCGGGCTCGAACCGGGGACCTCCTGTGAGCACCTAATGTGAGACAGATGTGATAACCAACTACACCACTGAACCGTTAGAAACTGCCCTTGCCCGTCGTCTGTGTGACGTGATATGCTTTGCGAAGGTAACTATAGGCTCAACAACAAGTGTTCGATGGTCCATGGATACAGACAGATACAGACTGCGCAGGAGCACAAAACGTACAGATAAACGAACCCACATTAAACATGCACAATAGTATTGTTACAGCCTATTGGCTACGTCGAGCTGTCTGGCACTCCAGACTTGAGCCGTCCGAGTCAGTGACAACCAGTCAGAGGAAATCTGAGCCGTACTGGCTCACTGCGTGTAGAAGTCCTCGTAGCTGTAGCTGCCAACCCACAAATCGTCTTCGACACAATCACTGAAGACAGCTTCGCTATTGGTAAACGTGACTGTGTGCGTCATGCGAGACTCGGCAGATTCACAGCAAGCGCAGTCGAGCGTAGATAGTATGCCTTTTGGGCATACTTGCATGTTTGGATCGCGCAGATTTAGCATCAGTCGTGATATGAGGGTACTCGATACCCTATAAAGAGTCAGCAGAGCCCCCCAACTGACAACAGCCGACTTACACGTTGGTGAGAGTTGTGCACATCCCTTTGGCCGTCGGCTGCGTTTAAGTAAGCGAATTATTTTGCAGATACAGCAAGGCGAGGCATACCACAGCAAGCTGAAAAAGTATTGATGTCAAGGGAGCACTTGCATAGCCGTACAATGACGCACCAGGAAGGTCAGAATATTGGCAATATTCGCCATGACCATGATGCCGTAGTAGAGAGCACCTGAACGTAGCTTAGTACGCAAAGATGAGTCGCGCATTGTGCCGCACTCACCATCTCGCAACATGATCCGGAATAATGTCCCTTTCCAGAGGCCTCCAACATATATGGCCCTCGCAAGCGTCAGAAAGAAGACTAGTGTGTCGAAAGCCAGCATGGAACTCCATGCACCAATCAGATCTAAATTTGTACATGGAGTCACGCCGACTGTACAATCCTTGGGAAAGGGGAGCTTACGACGAGCCCTATCACTTCGTGAGGATGAGGGATATAGCATCAGCACAGTGGCACTTACTGGTTCAGAGACAAAGACAGATCACAGCCTGGCCAATTGAACGCCATTTTCCCATCTTCGTGGGAGGTCTTATCCACGATCAAGGTCCACTTTCAATGATATAAGATGACGAACACAGGTGAGAACGTCCTTGGCGCTCACTATACTGACGATGGTACCTGCGGTACAGGTAATTATCATCATGCAAAGGATCCGAGCATCCCTATTGTACAGCGCATAGGTCCGCAAAAGCAAAAGGGCTCAAAAGGAGTCAATTGAAGGAATGGGCTAGCCTGATTGAAGCCTACCTGCGACTATTACTTGAGTAAGGACCGCATAATATTGATGAAAAGATTGAAGCTGGCGGCATCTGCATGGGGTCAGCCACACGTCTCAATTCAATCTATTGTGCAAGAGGGCCTCACCGCTGCGTATGCAGTGCAGTCAGCGCCATCAACGAATTGTCCAATGTCACTTACTATTTCTGGGATATTTCCAAAATATTCCACGGCGACAAGAATTGGACCAATGAGCGACAGGTAACGATTGACGACGAATAAAGCGGAAACCCAGGAAAGACAGTTCCTCTTCCAAAATCTCTCGATTTCGACTGAGAAGGTGGTGAAATAGTCGTAGTAGAGGATGGCTAAGCGTGAAGTAATTGACACCTGCCTCACGGTTGTGACATAATTAGAGGCGACATACTGAAGGATACCAGAGCGCAAATCCGGTTCGCCTGCAAGCCTTGGAGTCTATGAAAGACATTTCAGCAAAATCCATGGAGGACAAAATGCATGCGTACAGGGTAGACTCCGAAGCAGCGAAAGCAGCCATGGCAGGCTGACCCTCACATGCACTGCGGGAGCGGATGTGGGACCTTAGCACGTTAACCTAGGACGCCGAGTTCATATACTGGCATAGAGTGACTGATGGATATGTCGCCTTCATGCTTTTCGCACCGTCAAAGGCTGTCCAAAGCCGACATTATCACCGCAATTCAGCTTGTAATCGTAAGGGCAGCTTCCGTGGCAGACTGGGTTCGTCAGCTAGCATAGCAACATCCATGAACAGCAGAACCTGACTCATACACCTGTTCTATCGGAGGCAGAAAGCTTCTTCATGTGGAGACCTGACAGTTCCGTCGCTGTTAACTTGCTGATCAAGCGCCCGCGAGTGAGTCGCCAAGCGATCATCTCGTCGTGGACATTGAGAATCAGTGATATGGAGTGAATGAGCTGAATGCACCTGAGTAGGCATATATTATCGGAAGATCCTGAGGGGTGGATTATGTCGCGTTTGCGCATGAATTCCATCATATCGAAGCCGACAGTAGGTGACGACCTGTTAAAATGCCACGCTGCATGTCAATCAGTTGATCATGTGGAGACTCCAGGGGATGGCATGTCACTCTGACAGTAGCATAGCTGCGGCACAGGCTCTCGGAAGTGACCCCCCGCGCACATCCACTCATTGCAGATGCTGGGGTCGTATATAGACGCACGTACGAACAGGAGACTGCAATTCGCGAATGCGCAATTGTACATTATTGCCTACCTATTTTACAGATGCTCACACATACACAATACAGTGGATGAAATCAAGGAGTCCATCAGCGCCCAGTCACAAGAAGACTCCGCAGATCATCGCTCAGTAGAAGCCGTGCCGAGGGTAACGGACGATCTGCTGCCGGGGTCGCTTGTTCACCAGCGTTGTTACGACGACGTAGCTGAGATGCCCTGGAACCGTCAGACTCGGCATCACGCCTGTCCATGTCTGCAACGAGCTGTGCAAAAGACAGGAACAGAACCTCGGCTTGTGCAAGGGTAGAGTCAAGCTCAATTGTCATACTGAGCTCGTTGCAATACTGGTGACAAAGTGTAAATTTGTTGAAACATCAAAAGTTCACAAGGGCGCACCTTCAGAATTTCATCGAACTACGGACAAGAAAGAGTCAGAATAACGCGCCTCCGGGTGCTGTGATCCAGCTTACCTCAACCAGATAACGCAAAATAACGTCTCTGTGTGACTCCAGCACAGCTAATGCGACGAACAAGACAAAGTTATTGGTATAGTAGTCTGTCCATAGCACCTCCCAAAGACGTAGGACGTCTTCGAAAGGAAATTCTCGTTTGAACGCAATGAGAATCCATCTGTCACCATGTGTGAGTACTTCTCGCGTAGGGGGTGCCTAGTTTCTGACCTAAAGCAGAAGAAGAGATTCAGGCTGTCCGATTTCTCTGCAAGGCACAGTGAGCGTAAGAAAATAAGGACAAAAATTGCCTGGACACACCGAAATGTCGATAAAGCTCCGGATCCATGACAGAGATTAGTTGCTGCAAGGTCGACAGCTGTCTCTTCATGCCGCTTTGATCGAGTAAAAAGTTCTGCTTCTGTGTGTGTAATGCGCGGAGTGAGAGTAGGACCTACACGACATGAGTACACCTACCATGCGATTCATGACCTCCACGAAACACCAGAAGGTAAGTTCTTCGTCCGCGCCGGCCACGACGTACAAGGGAGCACATAGGTCCGACATCCCCTGCACATAGCCTTGACGTCCGTAAACGAGATTATTCGACAAACAAAATCCCGTGAGAACATACCAAGTTCTTTCTCGTAGAAATGGTATGTCAGGAGGATGCTAGCAAGACGCTCGGTATGTTCATTGGTCGGTGCTTGCGCCCCGATGTCGCTAAGCTGTGGGGATATGGTCGAGTATCGCATGTGCATCCCTTTCTCATTGTCGGACGATTCGGGCGCCGCAGCGAACAGAGGCTGCGTCCGATCTGTGCGGCGGCAGTCGACATCAATTCTATGTCGTTCCTATCGGACATCATCAGCAACGAATTATTTTGCCTGCGAAGTGCTTACCTCGATGATATCCGGCCGGTCAAAGACCTCAGGCACACCCCACCATTCGTCTTTTATAGATTGGTACTCTCGTCTAATTATCAAATGAGCTGAGAGTATACCAAGGCTCAGCATATACACATACCGTTTCTCCTGCCACCGACGCTCTCTTTCCGCAGTATCCACGTCCCATTCGAAAATTCCAAGGAGGTATGGCCAGATCTGCTTGCGAAAGTCGCCTGCAGGACTGATACCTCTTCGGAAGATCTCATGCTTCATCACCTCCTTCCTAACCTTTGGTGTTCCGTCTACGTTGAACCAGCTCTTCCATAACCGCTCATCTACCGGGTGTTTCGGGTCTCTGGAAGATTTCGGTGTGGGTAAATTTGACGTTGACTGAAGAAGCTCGAAGATTCCCAGAGATGAACTCTCTTCGGCTAGGTCCGTCGAAGCGGACGGAAGGACCTGCGCCTCTCGCCGACGATTGCGTTCCCCTTCTTCGGCTACAATGCGCGCCCAGCGAGCGAGATACACGCGCGCACTCTCAAACTCGCCTACACCACCTTTCTCGACCCAGCTGCCCCACTCCCACTCACCATTCGCATTCACCAAGCTCTTAACCGGATCAGGCAGGTGAGGGACAATGGGTTTCGCCAGAGGATGCGAGAGTATCTGTTGTGCAGCATGCGCTGCATGGCGAGTGATCTGGGAAAACGACTGAAGCAGGGCCATGCGAGCTTGAGAAGGCGGCGTGCTGGAGCCCGGCACCGATTGGAGCGACCGGTGGAGAATAGACGAGCGTGAAGAATATGGATTCTGCGAAGACGATTCGGCACGCGGCCGACGATGGGCAGGAACCGGTGAGTGAGAGTTCGCATATGATGACCGAGCGAGGATGTCATCCACGGCATCATCAGCGAATAGTTGTGTCGAGTGAATTTCAATGTCCTCTCTGGAAGGGTCGATTAAGAACAGGTTGGGCTGTAGAGTGGAGCGCATGATATGAGCGTAGAAACGGAGACGAGACAGCAGATCTTCCCCTCCCCATGATATTGTGTTTCGAGGTGGTGGTGCAGACTCGGACGGGGGCGGGGGATACGATGTTGAAGAACTGCGTACAGCATCGG